GGTTCAAAAAGGCAATGGCAAGAGTGAATTACATTTACACAACCCCTTCCAGGGTATAATCTCCTTGCTGCATTTCCCTCCTTTTCTTGCTCTGTTTCTATATGCCCAGAGAGGTCACTAGAAAAGTCGCTATGAGGAGGCAGCCTGGCTTGGTGGCTAAGGCATTGGATGAGGAACTCTGGGCTTTATCCCCAGCATAGCCATGAGCCTGCTGCAGGACCTGGGCACTTTCTTTCAGTTCTCTGTCTCTTCATTTCCCTCCCCTCTCCCCCACACATGCACATCTGGTTCCTTCATTTTGCTTGGAAACTCATCTAGGTATAGGCTGTTCCTAATGAGGTTGCGCACAAGGCAGGGCGGTTCAATTGCAGGCTTGGATGTGGCTTTTAGGTATGCTTGTAATATAAACGATAATGATCTAAAACCCATCTGTGCAAAAGTAACGTTTTGAAGGAAGGAGTTTCACTCCACGAATGTAGGACTGGGGACCCATAGGTGGGTTTGAGAAATGAGGAAAGATGAAGCAAGGAGTACTGCACAGATGGGCATGAAGAACAATTCTCTCTTATGCTAGGAGACAGCATCTTTACATTTTTCCATTCCCCTCTTAATTTAGCTTTTGTTTTAAAAATAACAATTAGGCTTTTTTTTTTTTAATTTATTTTTTTTTATTACCTCCTCTGCCCTCCTCCCTTCTCTGTCTCTAGGTCATACTCATCTTGCCTTATACTTATACTTTTCCTAACATCTACTTCTGTCTTTGCAGTTTGCTTTCTCTGATCCCTCTGTTTAACCCTCTTTAGATGCCTCTCCACCCCCATCATCTCCTCATATTGTGAGTTTGCATTAATCAGAGAGAAAGCAAAAATAAGAGCCCACCCACTACAGTTCTTTCCACAATGCCCAGAAGGATCTGTGTTTGAGGCATATTTTGAAGATCATTGTAAATCAGGAAACAGCAAGGTGGAGTGAAGGGAAACTGGAAAGAGCTCTCAGCTTACAAATGTATAATGCAAGAACATGGGCCCTCGTTCCAGTAAACTGGAGCCAACAGTTACTAGACCAAGTTCCTTGAGCAAAAAGTTATTATTATGACTAAACCATTCTGTATTTATAGAGAAGTAGTGTTAGAATACAAACAGTTCAAGCAGCACTCTTGCACTCAATGTTCTTTGCTTTTTCCTGCATGTGGTCTTTTATTCCAGCATTAATTGTGATTATAAATCATTCCCAACCTGCTTTGGAATGAGTTTACACAGTCTTCATGCTGTTGAAAACACAGAACACTTATACATACAAAATATAAAGCACTCATCAACTCCAGGGGTAAAAATACCATGTATCAGGAATCAAACCACAGAAGATTTAAGAAGTAAATATCACTAAAACATTTCTCTATCTGCTGCCACAAATGCCTAAAGCTACTTCTGCAGCACACAGAGAACACTGGAGTGGGCAAAGTCACTGACAGGTGTCTTTGAGAGGCATCTGGGTCAGAAAAGGATGAGACCTAATGAAAGAGTTTTGGTAAAACTGAGTGGTGAGCAGGATAGGGAAGGATCATGGACACCTAACCCCTGCCTATGACCATCCAAGCCAGAAAAGATGAGGCCAAAAAAAGCTTGAAAGGGAGAATAATGGATTATATTTCTTTTTTTCTGAGTTGAAACATATCATCCCCACAAGGAGAACGTTATGTGAACAACCAGGAGCGCACATTCCCCTGAGAGCCATGGAATGTGAGGCCTTGGCAGGCAGGCCAGGTGCCAGACTGGGACAAAGCAATCCTGTCACAGCTTCCCTACATTTCGTGGGGAGGTAGGAAAAAAAAAAAAAGGCACTTGTTAAATCTCACACGGCTTTCAGATCAAATTTTTGTCCTGTTTCACTTTGGAAGTCTCTTGAACAAGTTCAGTGCTGCAAATCTCCTCATCTCCCAGAGAAGTTTCCTGTGTTTAATAAACTGTTTTTACTGAAGTTTAAAGGGAAAGTAAAGATTTCTGTTGGCCTAGCAATAGAAAATGTGGCCCAGACCTGTAATCCCATATCTGACCAGACAGAAATGTGTACTCTGTTAAAAACTGGAGATTGCTCAGAAACACTGGCATGAGAATAACTCTGGTTCCCCTGCAGTCAGTAGCAGGAAGTCTAATAATCTCTAATGGAAATACCTATGACTAATTTTGTTTGGAAAGGAGGTGCTGGAAGGTGGTGCCTGAACACAACACAACAAACCTGTAAGCTACATAGTGGATCAGATACTAGGTAAAATAACTTAGAGTTCTCTCTTTTCAACCATTCCCCCACAAAATTAGCCCTTGAAGTGCTTTGCGTCCTAAGAGCATGCTGAATGCTGACAAGCAGGTAAGCACAGAGCAACTGAAATACCACTAACATGAGCAATGCTTGTAATGAGCTTATAATAGAATGGAGCCATGATTCCCTTGATTCAGACTTTCTTGAATGACCCGGGTGAAATTCTGGTTGCTCCTGAGGACCCTGTCAAGGTTCCCTGGTGTCTTGTCTCCAAGGCCTTCAAGCATGAAACTGCACATGACCCTGTTAACTGCACCAGGAGTCCTGGAAACAGAGGATAAGGCCTTTCTATCACGATCACCAGAGTGAGACATGGATTTGAATCAATTTTTTAGTGACCACACTTTCCATCCCAAGGCACACAGATAAAAAAGGCACACAGATACAAAAATAAATACTGCATCAAGACAGTGAATGTCTCCAGAGAATTTCACTAAATGAAGAATGAAATCTAACCCCAGAAGAGACCCCTGACAGGTCTTGTTTTCTTTATGTTTTGTTTTTCTTCCTTCAACACAAACATGATACATCATCTGCTGAAATTCAAAACTGATGTAGACTTTCAAACTCTTCTCCCAGCTTGCTGTGGTACTCAAATGGTAGCCTGTCCTTTCCCATCCATTCTTGTTAATGTTTCTCATCACCAAGTTTTTCTCACAATTAAATCCCAAATATTTGAAAGTTAAAGGGACAGAAGTGAACAGTCCTGACTGAAGAAAGTAATTAGTCCTCACATTTCTGCCAGCATGGATAGGAACATGTGTGCCCTTTTCAGGCTGGGATGCTCACTGAAAAATTTTCTAAATCCACCTGTCTTGATTAGTATAGTTTGCATGGAGCAGGCCAGACACAGCATAATTCAGGAGTTTTATTTCCACTTTCATTTCAGCACTTCTTTTCCACTACCAGCCCCATTTTCTGATTGATCTACAGCAAAGTGAGCAAAACACTTTGAAAACACTCCTGGAAATCCACAAATCAGTGGATAAAATAAGTGAGGTTGATCAATTTGCTAAGATGAAAAGGACTAGAGACAATTTTCAAAGGACCAGACGCTAAAAATGCTTATTTTTACAGCAAAGTCTTCAGTTATCCCAGGATTTAAAAATTCCTCATTAAAAAACAGGGGGTTGGTTGTTTGTTTGTTTTTGGTTTTATTTTTTAATTTTTCAGCCAGTATTACTATGAATGCTGGTTAGAAAATACGGTTTTCCCACCTGGGAACATAATGAGGACAATGATTCAAATAGAGACAAATGTGTCCCAAAGCAGCTGAATTTACATCTAGATTCTCTAAGCTCCTGTGAAGCTCTTGTGGTCTCCTCATTAAGGAAACAAAGAAAGTATAGAATCTGCAACCAAGTCCTGCCAGAAAATTCAGACAATAGGGTAGAATAAGCCCAAAAGACAAGTCAGTTTTAGCTTTTGTGTTTTTCTGCAGCAGTTCTGAATTAAATGCAGTTCCTTAGTCTAAAGACAGGAAAAATCCTTTATTGAAGGCTCATAACTTCTGTATTTTGGGCTTTTTTCTTGTCAAAGACAGGCTCACATCAAGAGCTGAATCAAGATTTCCTCAGGCTTCACCTAACCCTTCAAATGGAGAGCTATCTTCTCTTTCATGGACAGACTGCAAGAATGATCAACTTCCAGTTGACCCTGAAATTGTGCAGGATCTGCTGCTCAAGATGGATCCCTACAGATCTATGGTGCCTGATGGGATTCATCCAAGAATTCTCAAAGAGCTGGCTGATGTCATCACAAACCCTCTCTCGAATCCAGAGAGGTCCCAGCTGACTGGAAGCTGGCAAATGTCCTGATTTTCAAGAAGGGTAAGAAGGTTGGACCCTGGAAACTACAGGCTTGTCAGTCTCACTTCAGTGCCTGGTAAAGTTACGGAGAAGATTATTATGGGAGGCATTGAAAAACACCTGAAAGACAATGCTGTCATTGGTTACAGCCAGCAGGGCTTCATGAGGGGAAAGTCCTGCTTATCAAAACTGATTTCCTTCTATGACAAGGTAATCTACCTAGTTGATCACGGGAAGCCACCTGATGTAATCTTTTTGGATTTCATTAAACCTTTTGATACGTATCTCACAGGTGACAGGGCTGAGGTGACAGGACTGAGGGAATGGCCTGAAGGTGTGTCAGGGGAGATTTAGGTTGGATATTAGAAAGAGGTTCTTCGCCTAGAGGGTGGTTGAGCACTGGAACAGGCTCCCCAGGGAAGTGGTCACAGCACCAAGGCTGACAGAGTTCAAGAAGCATTTGGATGATACTCTCAGGCACATGGTGTGACTCTTGGGGATGGTCCTGTGCAGGGCTAAGGGCTGGACTCAATGATCCTTGTGGGTCCTTTCCAACTCAGCATATTCTGTGATGCCTTTGATGCACTGACAAATCACCTGCCACTGGATGGTTGTTTATCTCATAAAAACATTACTTCTCTCATGAAAGTGGCTTTCCTGATTAAATAATGGGACTAAATAATTTTTTAACTTACATTGAATGATGACCATATGAAACATCCAGCTCATATCCTTTGAAAAAAATTTAGCTGTACTTCAAAATACTGGGCTTGACTGCTGCAATAACTAAAGGATAACTGCAGGACAATTGCTTCTGCAATGTCAGACAAGCTTTAATATAAATGAAAATATGGAATAAAGATTTCTACTGCTTACCAGCACACTGATTGTTTTCATCCAACTGGAAGCCAAATCGACAAATCAGAGGTCTTGTAACAGTGGGGTAGTTAGGAACAGGGCCTGGTGCTGGGGGCGGTGGATAAATATTTGAATAAGGATTCAGATATGGTGATCGATACACTGGGTTTGTTCGGGGTACGCATAAATAGCCACCGTTCTGGTTGACACACACCATATCTCCTCTGCAGGCCTCGGGAATAGTCCGACATTCATCAACATCTGGAATTAAATTGCAAAAGTTAAAAGAGTGATTGCTCTTTAATGGAATCTATAAAAAAAGTTAACATATTTTTCTCAAAACCTTGTGAAAAAAAATTTATATTCTCTATCAAAAAAGCTAATCCTTCCTTGTGGAGTCTCACTTTGAAGTTACATTATACTAAAACAGGAAACATCCCATATATTCAATATATCCTGTGATCTGCTGATTTTACTTCACTATTAGAGGATAGAGGAAGAGGAGAAAGCCTGCTTTGCTATTCCATAGAAGTTTGGTTTAAATATTGATTTACATGTGGCTGCAGCATGCTACTGCTTGTTCCTGCTAGAGGGTCTGTCCAAACCACAACATGCAGATCAGGATTTCAAACACTGGTGGTTTGGTTTGCCCAGCTGTGAAACTTGGATCCTGATTTGGAACTTTAAAGCTCCTTCCCACAGAAAAAGTTAGGGATGTTCAGATCTGGGGATACAGTTCAGGCCTCTTTCTTGCTTTGATTGAGATTGTTGCTGAATCAAATTTACAAAGATACAACTGGTTTAGCCAAACTGAGGATCCACCTGGTTCTCTGGGCACAGAAGCAATAGGTTATGACAGGGCAAGCAGTCTGCTGTGGGATTTTCCCTTTGTGTTTGAGTGACTTTAGTGCATGCAGAAGAAGCTGCCCTAGAGACTGAATGCCATTGATAAAAAGATGCTATTGGACAATGTGTGGGTTTGGTTTCCCTATGCTGCCTCAACTCAATTTACTTGGAATGTCAATGCTAAGCAGTGGAAGACTTTATCCAAGCCTGCAGGTGGAAACTGCCAACAAAGACAGTAAGTCCTGAGTTTGAAAGAGAAAGAGAAGGAGGGTGAACAATCCTTGTCCTTTGGCAACTAGACTGAGTTCCTATCAAAATGCATCATTGCTATTTGAGTAGCACTGACAGCCTGTTAGTATCTCAACAATGTCAAAGGTCAGTATATACTTGTGCTATGTAAAGACACTCACATATTTATATATACACATACTTTTTATATATACATATATACAAACACACAGAGCAAGAACTTTTTAACAAAACATACTAAGAGCACCACAATTTTAACTCAATAAATTCAGGACTTCTGAACCCAGATTTAAATGTATTGATTTAATTAAAGTCCTACCTATGCATTGCCCAGAGGCACGGTCCAGGTCAAACCCATTAGTGCATTGTTGCTAAAATGAGAGAAAGAAGGACACTCAGTGACTGTGAAATGAGAGGGTTGCAGAGTCAAATGCTCATCTGGATTATTGTGATTAGTACAATTGTTCAGCACTATACAGTACATCAAAAGTCACTTCCACAAAGGACACTCAGCACGTGTGCCAGCCCCTTAGCTCAGGAGGGGGTTCCCTCAGGTGGTGACAGTGTCAGGCTGTTCCTCTTCCCAAGGGTCCCCAATGTGCAAGGTGTTATGGGCTCCATACCAGTTGTTAACATAGAAGTTACAGTCTTCTAGTTTGGGCTCTTGTTTCTGCCAGAACAGGGGGTTTCAGCTAAAAGGTACTTGCTACCTCTCTAACAGGGTCTAAAACTCCCCAGACAGCCCATTCAGCACACAGCACATTAGCCATTGACTGATCTGGAACCACAGTTAAAACATAACAAGCTTAATAAAAATAAGTCTTTTCCTTTACACCAAACCTTGTAATTTTTAGAGTATAAATCTTTAGATGACACATGTTCCAGGTATGCAAGGTTACTGAAGGCCTTGTTCCTTTCTATTCTGTGATGCTGGTCTTTATCAGGGTTGCAGCCTTGAGCCTTCAGCATCTCCTCTGTGACCCTCAGCATTTCTAAATCAATGAGAGTCCTGGTGATGATTGTCTCAAACCCCATTAAAATGATTCCCTGCTCTCCCTAAATTTTGAATGGGCCTCCAGCTATTTAGCAAGAGGCCAAGCACAGGATCCTGCCAGTAAATAGGTTGCACTAAGGAATGTAAGCAAGAGATAGCCAAAAAACAGGAACCACTGAAGTAACCAGAGGGCAGAGGGATGGAGTGTGTTCAAGATTCTTTTGTTTCTTAATGATAAAGACACTTAGTTTTGGACTTTATGGAAGAAATCAGTGGAAGAGTAAAGTACCCAGTTCATGAAAGGAAAAGTAGTAAGTTCTAGATGGGAGACAAGGGGTTAGAGCTGTGAATCAGTGGAAGTGAATCATTAGGGACAGGACATGACGTGAAACACACGGCACTGTTTGGACTGCACCTACCACTTGCATATATGAATACACAAAGCCACTGCTATGTGTCAAACAAGTATGGAGGAATTCTGCCTTCATTTATTTTGGCATTCCAAGATGTTTTGGTATCATGTTGTGGAAAGCCAAGATACTCTCATGGGAGAATGTATAATCATCCATTTTAAAGAATGTACCTACTCTTTTGTTCTCCTTTTTGCGCTGTGGCACATACACTACATCTAGGTTAGCTGGAAAAGTTGAGACAGTTTTTAACAAAATTATTTTCTTTTGGAAAATAAATGATGATTCAGAAGCACCAAAACTGCTGTAGAACTGGTTTCAACAGAATTGTAGAACTTTATTCTAGAAGAGATTCCAATATTGTTGAAACTACCAGTTTCAATATCTTCAGAAAGAATGCATTGCTGTCATTTCAGTTTCAAGTTGCTTTTTGCTTGGACTTCAAAAATCAATTTACATTACAAGATGTTTTTATAAAAATTGCAATGAAAACAATATTTTTTAAATTATAAAAACAAACCCTTAAAGACATCTCAAAAATTCCCCAGGGGTATGAAAAGCATTTCCCATACAGATTCAATGTTCACAAAAATATCAATAAGCATGCCATGTGCAGGAAATTTTCAATGTAATAGAACAAAAACAACTACATTTCAGAGACTTTTGGCAAAGGTATTTAGAAACACAGCTCTGGACACGGAGTATATCTGGATTATCAACTAGAAATCCAAACTTAATGTGCCTTTGGGAACTGTCTTTCCTAATTTAAAGTCCACACGGAGCCCAAGCCCACAAAGAACTAATGCTTCTGTTATTTCAAGAACTGGACTGCTTTACTTCCATCCACCCTCAAAAGTCCTGCCTCTTGAACAGAAATGGTTTAAGGCATAAAGGAAAACAAAAAATAGGATACAGTCATTCAGGACCACAGCCTAAAATTAAACAGTATTAAGATAAGATCCCACTATACACAGAAATTCCTATTTATATGAATGAATTTTCCAAGTGTGGATGTTTCCCACAGCAGAACTGAGTGGTCCCTGCTCTCGTGGGATAGCTTTTCTTATTTCCTGTTGCTGTTCTGTCTAGAGGCAGAATCAGGTTTTCAGTGAGGTCCAGGTTTCTACAGGGATATTTTGCTGAGCTGGCAAGGATGAGTCAATAAGCTCAATCCATGTTCAACTCCAGAATCCTGCTGGCTCCAAGTTCTCCCCTCTAAACCCTTAGACCACACAACTTCCTTTTCATGTAAACCCCAGACCACAGAGCTTCCTATCCACCTGCTAGCCAGTGAAGTTTCATGCCATATAGTGCTTCAGTACAAAACAGTACATACATTTCTGTGTGCACCTCTCACCTGTGCTTTTCCAGGGCTTGAAAGGCAGACAGCCAGTGTGAAAGCAGTCAGTATCCTGTAATGTGCATAGAAAATAAGCTGAAAACCTTCTGATATCCAGGCTTATTACATAGAATTAAATACACATGGACAAATTCATTTCTAGTGATACTTCAGTGTATTCCACTGCCTGCTAACATGAATTTGGCCTCTGGAGAAGGAGTAGTACAACTACTGGCCAGATTCAGATCTCAGAGTTACTAATTTTACTATAGTTTTATGCAACTGGGATTGGAATCTGACTATATATGTCTATGGACTAATCTAATTTTTATGACACCCCATGCAGCAGCTGTTAAATGGATGAAGTGTGCAATATTGAATAAAGCATTTTTGCCCCTCTCTGACACCTTTCTTTTGGGAATATGGAAGTTTTTCCTGCACACTGTGCACATTTTACGGATGGGTAAACCAGAGCACAGGCCCTGCCTAAGCTCCCAGCGCGGTGCGTTGGCAGGGCTGCAGACATGTCATGCAGGAGGTCCTGAATCCAAGCCAGTTGCTGTAACCGCTAAACCGCATTTCGTCCCAGGAGGCTGCATCTGAGATTAACCCATTTTCGTGGGGCCAGATCCTGTCCCTTTACTCCGTCTTGAGAATACATTGCTCTGGAAGTAGACACACTGTGCCAGGTCACCAGCTACTAGAAGCTGTTCTCTTCAATGGACCCTTCCCCAGCTACATCATCTGGGCATCCAGTGGGACCTACTGGGTCTCTCCATCACAACTAAAGGAAGAGGATCCCTTGCCAACAGAGTTCTACAGTTATTTTTGGAGCTCCTTACCTGGAGTTCCTTACCTGGAGCATAAAAATTCTGGTCAAGTAACCTTCCACCTCCAAGTATTTATTAACAGATAGAAAAACATGAAGTGACAGTCAGAAGTTATTTTTTTCTAAGTACTATGGATTTCAGTGTTTTCCTGCTGCCTTATATAAAACTTCTCAATAATATTAGACCCACACCTTGCTTATCTTGGATTGTAGTTCTGAATGGCAACTGTATACAATATATTCCCACAAAACCAGTACAGGAAGCAGGAGATATTTTAGGTGGCTTTAGTTCTACTACCTAAGTAAGCTGCCAACTTTCTCTCTTAGAGCTGCCTCTGATTTCCAATGCAAACTGAGTTGTTGAGCAAGACCTACAAATGCATCAGAAACCACACACAAACAATGACTGACACATTAGAACAAATTTGTTTTAAATGAGAAGACAGGGACAATCTCTGAAAAGTAAACATAAACCCTAAAATGGTTTTTCATAGTGCTGTGAAGACAAATTGTGCTTGTTGGCAGCTTTGAGCGACAAGGAAAGGCAAATTCTGCAGAGTTTCCCTTAGAGTCCGATGCAAAACATTCAAACTACAATGTCATCCATTCAGGTTTGCACTTAATTTATTGATTCCTCAAATTTTTTGAAGAGATCTTACAGTGTGCAGTGCTATAAGGAATGTATACTCACTTTGCACATAGCAAGAACAGCACTGGGTGGGAGTACAACAGGTTGCAGCTGAAGGCTGACACACCTAGCAACTGAGCTATGCTGCACGTTGCTGCAGGACAGTGTACACTAAAAAAATCCCCTTTAAAACTCGGCAGACAAAATTCAAATGTTTTTAGACAGTCTTTAGTTTCTGTTATTACAAGGTGACACATAGTTTCCTCTTGGTGTGTGGGGGGGTGACCTTACTGCCTCTTGTTCTGTCTGCAATCATCATCTCAATTTGCTTGTTACTTTAGATCTCAAATCCCCTCAAGAATTATTAGCAGACATGCAGCACGACCTCTCAACACTATATGCAGCTGGTCACAGTAGCTTGCCCAGCAGGCAAAATATTTTAAACTATTTTAAACTTCTGCAATAGTAAGTAATTAGCTTCAATCAATCACTGTAGCCAGTGGGATCGTTTGCTGTCGCAGTTCAGCGCTCCCGCGGATGCGCAGAGTGTAAGCACAGATTAAGAAGGAACTCATCAGAGACAGCACAGCTTTAGTAACAGGCAGATTGTCTTTCCCCACCTCTGACCACTGAGATCCCTTCTCCTTGCAAATGGCTTTAGCAAGTGGATTGGCATACCGAATCCCTGCCACAGCTATTTTCCACAAGTAGGTTTCCTGTCAGTAAGCAAAGAAGTTTCATGCATACCACTTACCTTCTTAATCCTTGCATGTCCAAAACCGTTGGGGAAAGGTGGAAAAAAACCAGAGTCTGTGCTGATGAACAACTAGAAAGTTTTTCCAAACATTACCCTCTGCTAGCACTTCAGTTCCTCTGTCATTTATAGTCCAAAGAATGAAATGGCAAGTAATGGAGAGGATCGGGAGCCGTCTGTACCTCCTCAGACACTGGAGAGAATACAGAGAAAGCACCTGGTTTTGCTTAGTTCTCTTCTGTAATTCAGCATTAAACCAATTGGAGGAGGAATGTTAAAAATGAACACTTCATTTTCTAAGTATGTTAAACAATGCAAATGGGGGCCTCAGCCTGGGACAGCTGGTTTAGATTACAAAGCTCACCAACTGGCTAGACTCCTCACAACAACCTCGAGGAGCCTGCCAGGATAAAACACTAACAGCTTGAAGGAAAGCCTCTCCCACTGCAAACTTCACAGTTAAATGTGCCTCAGAGCAGAGAGCACCGTTATTGGACAGAAACCCTTATCAAGGGACTGGAGAAGGGAAGGGATTGTTTTCCTTGCTCTGAGAACAAAAAAAAAAAGTCAGGCTTTTTGGAGGCCCTCTAGCCGGTGTCCTGGATAATGAATATGCAACACTCACTGCTCTGTGCCAATGGCATACTGATGAAAGGTCTGACCCTCTGGGAGGTGAATAACTCGAATTCATGATGATCAGGGCTACAGGAACTATATTGCTTGGGGATTATTTGAAAACAGGAATAAACAAATTAAATGTTCAAAGGAAAACAAATGGCTTGTCTGCAAACACTGGCCCTTTTTAAACTGACCCCATGCTTTAGGGAGCAGTTTATGATATGAAATATTTCTCAGGAAAAGCATAACTTGCAGATCTCCAGTTATGATTGAAGAGGAAGGAAATAAAGTACTTTTTCAGGTGTTTTGCAACTTTGCCACAGGCAGAGCTTTAGTAGGTCAAGGAGAACATTTATGGGATGTGAGAGGTAAGCAATCAGATGCTGCAAAGATTATGCTAGATCCAAAGATGAACACTGAAATTAAATACAGATATGGAAATTAAACAACTACTTTGACTTTCTGTTGAGTCTGCCATTTGAGAAAACCCTTTATTTCTAAGAAACCTGAAACTATTATTATACATCTCTCTGTAACAGATTAAGAAACAGAGAAGTATAGTTGATATAACAGATATTAATAAAACTAGCCTCCAAGTATGGACATCCAGCTTGAGATATAAAAACTGAGCTGCTTCAGGGTTGCTGAGGTCCCACAAGTTGTGTTAGAGCCAATGGGAAGTCCAAGAGCTCTGTACCATGTTAAATGGCTGTAATTGTACAAATTACCTTTCAAAAATGACAGCACCAGAGGCTCAGTGCCATTTCTGACCATTTCTTTCTCAGTGACTTGTTTGCATCACTTGCATTGCATTAAAAGTTAAAACTCTCACCTAGAATTATTCAGTGTTAATTCATTGGCAGATAAACAAGAATGAATTTACTTATTATAAATAAACTTCCCAAAAGCAAAAACTCACACAAGGGACTTCTGAAGAAGCTGCTGGGCACGTCGCGAGAGGAATTTTGTCATGAGTCAGAAAGCAGGCAAGAGATGATAGCAAGAAAAGACAGGGGAGATTTTCATTGCGCCAAAATGTTGACAGTGAGTGTTCTCATCGCCCCACAAGACCAGTGTTTCTCAATACACTCAGTAATCTGGAGAGCTAACAGGTCTGAGAGTAGCAGTGCTTACTCTATTCTGTGTGTGAAGATGTACTGAAACCATGAGAAACAGCTTTACAGCAAAGCAGATGCTCTGAGCATCCAGCCATGTGGATGAAAAGCTTCATACCATGATGCTTCACTTGCTAATCCACTGAATTTTTCTACCATCACATGGTAAAATCATTGCACACATGCCAGAATCACTGCATGAGTGCAGCACCAGTCTGCTCAAAAATTGTTGCCTCAGAGTTCTGATTCATCAGCCAACTGGCAGAGGTAATCCAGCCCTGGAGACAGGGGGTGAATCCAGATCTGACCACCTAAGGGGCTCCCTTAAGAAGAAATACTGTACAAATGTTTTGATTTTTCCTGTCTCCATCTGACAGCTGGAGTGGATAAAAACCAGAGTATAAAAAGTGTACCAAACCACAACTTGGGCTGGTTTACAGCATGGTGACTGTTTTTTTTCCAAAATAAAAGGACTTGAATTTATGGCTAAATGGAGTTTCTGCAGTACCTTTGTGTAACTACCATCAGACACAGAACAATGAGATGCAGCCATAGCCTTCTGACAACTCCCTTTGCTATTGAGTTGCATAAAGGACGAATTTGTGGCACATAAACCTCCTTTGTTCATCCTATAAAAATGGATAATTCAATGTGCTGACACCTTCACCATTTATGCTTAAGATAGTAGCTAAATTTCAGGTGTAGTGGTACTCTCACTTTAATGTTCTCAACTATCCTTCGTTATAAAATCCATTATTTTATTTAGATTAGCTTGACATTTTCTTTGTCTTCATGAAGAGGTGCAGAACTGTCCCCAGTATAAAATGGGGTTCTGTTAAATAACTACGTTCTTAAAAGTTTGCTTTGTGTATAGTTAAGACTGAAGCTATATCTCCAATTATTTTTAAGACTTGAGTTTTGAAAATTGTGTAATATATAATCACAAGAGGCACATAAACTGTGTTGTATAGCTTTAACACCACCCTCCTTGGATGAGATGACGGAATGTATGAATAGAGCCATGCTCCTGCAGATAATACACAGCACCAGATGAACGGGAACCCTCAGCACTGAAGAACATAATCTGATGGATTCTGAATGCTAAGACAAAAGCTGTAAATAGGTCAGAGAATTTAAGAAGAGTTAATTACACTCAGCACTCCTCAACAGAAAATCTGCCTCACAAAAACAAGTCATCACTTTCCAACTTTTATGACATTTTATCTCCTTTTCAAATTCTGATATTGTTCTTACATTTCTCCAGAACTACACCTATCGAACACCCTTCTTGGATGTTCTTGTCATTTTTCAAAGTCCACCCTCTCTGAACATTCTCAAGAACACTGTCAAACCACGGCAAGAGTCAAATATGCAAATCTGTGTGGTGGTAGGTCTGTGAGCCCAAAGTCATCCTAAGTGCCAAGTCACAGACATCTTTTACCCAGCCACACAGACCTAAATTCATTAAAGGAATTTGCCAATAACTGACACTTTAAGACCCTGCATGTCCAAGATTTAGATGCTAAAAACATTAACTTTGCTCCTACCAAATCTTATGGAATCAAATGTTTTTAGCAGCAAAAATGGTAAAACACTCAGAGCACAACTTCTGGGCACTTGCAGGAACAATTGCACTTTGATAGCACCTAAGGTCCAGGGGATTCACAAGCTGGGCTTTTGCCTGGTTGAGAGATTGATCTAAGTGTTCTTGGAGACCGCCAAATAAGCAAGCTTTTTATATCATCACATATTGATATAACACATGACAGGCAGAGGTTTGAAATCCACACATCTCACCCTACTGCCACATGAATTGCACCAAGCCTATGGGAAACTTGGCCTCAAACCCTAATTCTGCCTGAGAAAGAGAAGGGCTCATTTCTTCCACCTCCCAGGGAAGAACCTCAGTTACAAAATCCTGGCGTTTGGGGTGGGTTCCCTATAATTTTTCAAAGACAGACTACCTTAGATTATCAGTTGAGGTCTGTATCATTCAGTGTATGCATTGTAATTGCTATCTCATAACAGAATGATTCGATAACCTGTTCCAGATGGCTCAGGCCAGAAGCTCAAAAGCACAGTCCCACACATGTTTTCCTTTCGTAGCCAAACATAACACAAGCAAGAATTAACAGTGAAAATTAACATAGTATGTAATTGTAAAAACTTCACTTGTGCTAATTAAAATGTACTGGGAATGTGCAGTCCCTGAGATGCTGTGGTGTGTTGATCTGCAACTCACAATATTGTTTTTAGGAAGGAGAAAGTGTAACAGTTCCTGTTGTGCTGCCGTTTCTTGGAGCTCAGTTACCACCTGTGTGAGATACCCATGGAAAAAAGAGCCAACATGGCATCCCTTCCTTCCCTCCTGCTCAGACACCTGTGTATCTGAGGTGTATGTTCCTTTGGGATGATGATACCACTGATAGCACTGCTCCCAAAGAGCAGCGAGCTGAGCATCATTGCAATGTTGTAGCAGATGGAATCACATAGTGCCCAACTACAACACTTTAAGTCTTTGTTCTACTTTATCTAACTCTACATCTTTGTCCTGATTTCAGTTGGTGTTAAACCCCAACAATCTTACACCTGTTGCTCTCTTTACAGGTCTGTGGTCACTATAATAATGGTTAACAGCACAATTTCCTCTAGGATAAAAGTTATCAGTGTAAAATCCAGGCACCACTGGATCCATTATGAAATGTAACAATGCTAGGACTAGGATCTGATTTTATTGATTTGAAAACATATTAATTGTTTCATTAGATGAGGAATAGTAGGATCTAGCAGGTGCATACCAAAACCCAAACAGTTAAAACTATGCCCACTGAACTGCATCTGCTGTAGGACAAAACTATTTCAGGTATACTACCTTTAGTGAGATCAGGTTTGATGTTCGTGATCACTGGTTTAGCTGTAGTGCTTTCTAGGACAGTCTAGGAAGATGCTTGAGGCAAAAAAAAAAAGAGCAATATACTTGAAAGAATGCTTTAGTATTGTCTAGTGTTTTTTTAACCCAATAAAAGTAAGATAAGCAAGTAAACTAAAAGCTTTTTATAACTTTCTCAGGAAAAATACAGAGTCTTTCTCAGCATTTTTGGTGCACGCGACAACTTTCAGCAGGTCCCTTCCTATTATTAGTAATTTGCAACAGCCTGTAACGTTCTTATTGAGCTTTCAATCCTTAAATGACCAATATTTATGCTTTTAAAACTACTTTCCTGTAAAGAGTATATGGAACATCATCCTCTACCTAAAGACAAAAAACATACTTGAGAACTTATATCTTCCCCTTGGTTCCTCTGTCTGAGAACATAGTGTCCTGGCCACTGTTCATACTTTTACTCGCTTTACTGTCAAATCTCATCCTTGAGCATAACTCTGATTATTGCAGTTCACATTTTGCCTGAAACTAGACAGATATTTTAGTTTGGTTTTGTTTGTTTTACAAGATTGACATGTACGTAAACAGGGCTGTGGCCTTTTCTCCTCCGCATTTTTGTCAAATGGTCTAGACAATGTGGTTGAAAACAATGATCTTTAATCTTGTGACAAAATGTTTACCAGCCCCTTTTAATAGCAAGCATAAATTCCTTATGGCCAGTTTCAGCTAATAATGACCTTCCATAAATAAAGACCTAAAACTCCTAGTACTCCTGGACCAAGACTGAAGTCTGTTTCACTGTTGGAGCAAGCCAACATTTAGTCTTTGCG